CTATAACCTATCCACTTCTATCATCTCTTTCTAGTCTCCTTCTCATCCCGAAGCTGGTCTGTTGGTAATCATATCCAACCAACGGAGAGCTGTTTACAGATACTTTTACCTTTATGATGATGGTAGTAGTAATAGATTTCCAAGTTTCAACTCCGTACCATAGAACCGTCTTGACATTCATATTGAAGATTGTAACTTTGATATTGGCTTGTATACACAGTTGTTTTAACTTCCATATATTCTTCAATTGTAGGAATACTGTTGTCGTTTTGTCAACCCTCCCCTTCATATCTTCATCAGTTCCTCATTCTTCATCAATGATACTGTTCAGATGATGACTGAAAGATTCCACATTTTCCAGAGTTTCATCATCAAATGTGATTGTATCGATGTTCTTCGTGTTGTTGATCAGCTTATAAACTGTAATAATTCATTTTATCAATAACACTTTAAAAAATTAGTTAATTGACATACTTTGACTGTATTCTTTCTTGTTGTTGTTGTTGTTGCTGTGGTTGTTGTTGTTGTTGCTGTGGTTAAATTGAACAAACTTTCTTTTTCATTAAATATTGATTGAATACTTCAAGTTTTCTAATCATAAGATGAGTGTTTTTTTGTTTGTTTTTTTGCTTGTTTCTTTCTTTTTAGAGAGTCTATCACATGATCTATTGTTTCTTCTAATGTAATAACGATAATGAAAATGTTTATTATTATTATTAGTAGTAGTGTTAGTAGTGCTAGTAACAGTAGTAGTAGTAGTAGTAGTAGTAGTAGTAGTAGTAGTAGTAGTAGTAGTAGTAGTGGTAGTAGTAGTAGTAGTAGTCGTAGTGGTAATAAGTATTTCTCTGATTTTTATGTTATTGATGTTCACTCCGGGACTCGAACGGTACTAGGATTCAGTGCCAGAGTGAACATCAACTCTGAGATGCAGATATATCTAACTGACGAGTCCCATGTAGGACGAAACATGCGTCACTGGATTCCATTACTAGCAACCATCCATTTTTGTTTACAATACTTGTGACTTAAAACAATATCTAGGCAATTCGCACAGGATCCATATATATATACCAATAATAGACTGATCCATTCCAATCTCTTAAACATCAATGGGAAGATTCAATCAAACAGTACACACATCATATAATTCAATGATCAAAAATTTTAGATCATTATGAAATACGATTAAAGTAATAAAGTTAACTCTATTGATTTGTGTATTATGTACTTAGGAATTGAATCAATTAAACTGATCACCATTTGATTGATTTACTATTGAGGACTATTGATTTATTGATTTTTATATTATAATTCAAAACTATTTATTATAAGTCAATATTGTCATTGAATTGTTTGAAATTCTTCAATTATTTCATTGATATAATTACATAATTGATTATGTAATTATCAATTAGGGTAATTCGTTGATTTGTCAAATGATGAAATGTATATAATACACTGGTTGAATCTCGCGGGGGGGGGGCGGGATGGTGAATGTGCACTGTTATGGAGGAGTCCCATACTAGGACGAAACGGCCGTTCAGTGCTTTCCAGTTTTCCATGGGGGTCTAGCTTCAATTGACTTATGAATTCAACCAGTGAAATTTCTAAAATCTCCACAAAACCCATTCTGATAACAACTTTTTAATTTATGAAAGTTAAGTAGGGAATAAATAAACAAGTGAATGAGATAATGAGATAGATTAGTGAATTTGTGGAGATTATGGTATTTTCACTGTCGTAGCCACGAACTGATCTTTGTTAGATCTTACTTATTTATTTATTTACGCCTTTTACTCCTCGTGAAGGACCATAGGCCGCTCACCAACATTCACTATACAACCCTGTCCTAGGCAATCCTTTCCAGCTCTTTCCAGTCTTTATTCATCCTTTTCATATCTGTTTCTTTTTTTCGACGTAATGTGTTCTTTGGCCTTCCACTTCTCTGCTTCCCTTCAGGATTCCGAGTTAGGGCTTTCCTCGTGATGTAGTTTGATGATTTGCGTAATGTATGTCTTATCCATTTCAATCGTATTTCCCAAATATCCTCTTTAGTTGGAAGCTGGTTTGCCCTCTCCCACAGAAGGCTGTTGATGATGGTATCCGACCAACGGATTTTGAGTATCTTGCGTAGACAGCTATGTATAAATACTTGTACCTTCTTGATGATGGTTGTTGTAGTAGTTCTCCAAGTTTCAGCTCCGTACAGTAGAACTGCCTTGACATTCGTATTGAAGATTCTCACTTTGATATTGGTTGAAAGTTGTTTTGAGTTCCATATGTTCTTCAATTGTAGAAATGCGACCCTTGCTTTGCCAATCCTCGCCTTTACGTCTGCATCTGAACCTCCTTGTTCATCGATGATGTTCCCCAGGTATGTGAAAGATTCTACATCTTCCATAGTTTCGCCATCAAGAGTGATTGGATTGCTGTTCTCCGTGTTGTATTTGAGGACCTTGATTTTCCCCTTGTGTATGTTGAGGCTTACTGACGAAGAGACTGCTGATACACTGGCTGTCTGCGAAGTCCAAATCGTCTAATTAGTTCTGAGCTGTCTATTGTATGCCGTGTTTTCCTTCAGATGTCGAGCTCTTCATAATCCAGTCGACCACCAGAAGAAAGAGGAAGGGAGAGAGTAGAAGTCTTTGTCTGGCTCCGGTCTTTACTTGGAATGCATCTGTCAGCTCTCCTCCATGCACCACCTTGCATTGTATTCCGTCAAGTGAATTCTTGATGAGGTTGACAATCTTCTCAGGAACTCCGTAGTGTCGAAGAAGTTTCCATAACGTTCTCTTATCAACACTGTCAAATGTCTTTTCATAATCAATGAAGTTGATGTACAGTGACGAGTTCCACTCAACTGATTATTCGACGATGATCCGTAGTATCGCAATTTGGTCTGTGCACATCTTTGTTAGATCACCACTGTAAATTTGGAAGTAATGGAAAGGTGTTTTTTTCTCGTGTAGGACTTATCAAAAGTTTGCATTCATGAAAATTGTTTGATATCGGATTGGTGGTTTTAAAGTTAGACGTTTGCACTGGAAATTGAATGTTCTAGGTTTGATTCATGCCTATAGGGTCGTGAATGATCATTTCTGATGTGTCTTATATAAGAACAGATCAGTCGTTTAGCTCTTTCAGGTGTTCAGCAGTGGTTTATCCGAGATTTGTTCATGATTATAACCGTTAAATCTTTTTTTGTGTGGAAAAAATGTTATAGAAGCAACTGTTATTCATCGAAAGGTACTATTGTAATACGTATAACCAATGATGATGATATACACATAGATTGGCTCATGGTACTTAGAAAACATTTCTAGCTAAATGAAATTTTGATAATTGATTAATATCCGTTTAATCGTTATTGAAGTCCTGGGCTCATTGAATTTCCGGATTTTGTTTTGCTATTTACTTGCTTAAGGCTGTTACTCCCAATGGAGTATAGGCCACCGACCAACATTGTCAAACCCACTCTGTCCTACGCCTTTCTTTCTAATTCTATCCAATTTTCGTTGATTCTTCTCATGTATTTATTTCTCGGAGTAATTTGTTCTTTGGTCATCCTCTTTTCCTTTAGACTTTAAGTGTTCTAGGTGAAGGTGTATATTCTATCCACTTCCAGTAATTCTTCCGGATTTCCTCCTCTATTCGAATCTGGTTTGTTCGCCCCTACAGTAGTTTGTTGCAGATAATGTACTCATTTACTGATCTCAGTTACAAGGCAAGTCTGATATCGAATGATCTATATTCTTGAATCCAGTTAATTTTATTCTGATCCAAATTCAATGTAAACGTAAGTTACGTAATGACTTAAAGTGCTAAACATTTTACTTATAACATGAAACTATATTGTAGACGTTTCTTCAAGTGAATCTGAATAAAAGAATTGATCAGTTTCCCAAATATTTAGGATTTTAATAATTGAATTCATGAGTTGATTGAAGCTAGACAACTATTGAGAAGTTGAAAGAACTGTATAGCCATTTTATCCTAGTATGGAATTCCTCAGCCGTGCGTATTCACGATCCCGCCAGCGTGACTCTAACCTACGATCTTCAGTTTTGAGCGTAAACGCTTAACCATTAAACCATTCAGCCATCATCTAACGATGTTAATGTTTAACTTCAACTAATTCATGATATTGCGCAATCATTCATCTATTGTCTGAGGTAAATACCTGTCTCTAACTGACAAAAATTTTACTTCATTGGTGATGTCTTCTTACTAGAACTTCAGGAAATTCAATGTTTCAATGGTGATCTAGTTTTAATTGACTCACAAATTCAACTATTAAAATCATTGCAATCTCCACAAGCTCACAGTGTAAAAATGTTTAGGATTTGAATGAATGCTCTTACTACTGCTGCTACTACATATACTACTACTGCTATTAATACAATACTACTAATTACAGCAATGATAATAATGGTATTATTAAGAGTAATAATAATGAAATCGACCACCACCACCACCACCACCACAACAACAACAACAACATTATTATTATTATTACTATACCTCAAATCTGTTTAACCATTAAGTACAAAAAAGAGTATGATATATGTTTATACTTTCTACTGATTGGTTAATGATTCATTTGAGTTACATAAACACACCCACCCACATGTAAATTCTATGCCTATATATATATATATACACATAACCATGGCAACTATTGAATATCATCATCACTAATATGCATGTTTCCTCTTCATTTTAACATCAAATTGTCCTCTTTTTTTTGTTTGTTTTACATACGACGGGGCGGGGGGAGTAGCGGAATATTTCATAGAGAATGATTTCATCAAATAAACTGCGGAAATATTATTATTTTTTTTGATTTAACAAATTAAGGGAATTATTATTATCATTATAAATAATTGATTGTGGGTAGCAACAACAACAACAAAAATACAAAAAAAAAACTTCATTGTGATTCGGTTCTATTGAAGTGTGATGACAATTCATGATCAATTTTTCATTAGTTCAAATGAATAATGGGTTCAGGTAAGTCAATCATTGAATGAAATGATCATTTATGGACAAGTTTTTCTTTTAAAGATTCCAAAGTGATCTTAAGAGTGTTCACCTAGTAACTACGATCAATTAAAAGTTATAAGACAGTAAAAGGAATTAGAATTATGATCTGAGATCTATGATCTTATAACTGATTGATTTTGTTCATAAATTATAGTCTTGCCGTTGATATTGAGATAATACTGGCTTCCTGAAAGTAAAGAAGTTTTTAATGTTGTAAGTTAGTTACTTAGTGAAGATAATGATGGACAGTCGAGTGATATCGTTGATTTATTGAAAATAAAAACTAACAACGTTGGATACTGGTTTAGTAGCCTATCTGTTATGCTTTCACGTGCGAGATTGAAAATCCTGTGTTTGATTCTCGAGTACGGACACATACTACTGAGGATTCCCATACTAGGAAGAAACAGCCGTTCAATATTTTCAGGCTTTCAGTAATGTTCTAACATTGATCCATTCATAATATCAATCTAAATCATGAATATATGATTGTAAATCTTCATTCAGAGTGCTATCTTTGTGTTAGATCCCGAGAAAAATAATAAATGGTAACTTTAGGATCCTTTTAAGGACCAATACTAAACGTATCCCGATGTGAATATTGAATAGTAACTGTGGTGACCAATTTATGGACCAATATAATACATATATTTTTATTGTATAATTATTAAGTAGCGAAGCTGTGCATATTCATGTTCCTCTTATTATAAGCTCTATTTTGACCTATGAACTATTATTATACGTTTTACCATTCTTGAATTATGCTTTGTCTATTAGTCACTACCTCGCACATTCACAGCCACATTTGGCCAAATCTCGTACAAATGTTATTTTCTATTTTATGCTACGTTGTGGTCTGTTTGATTGGTATATAAACTCAGTATGTTTGAAATATAAGGATTCATATTGCAGAGGCTGAGACTGGTGTTCTGGACTTAACTGGCTAGGTGAGGTGGAAAGCAGGAGCAATCAGGACTCTAGGCTGTTCTCACGTGTTTTACGCGTCCTTGGTCCGATCGAAGTTTCGCTGCTTCTGACTGGCGGCTTTGGGCTATAACACTATGCGTGTGTGGAATTTTTCTCATATTAAATAATTATTGTCTTTGAGTATTAGAGGACCATTCTAATAATTAAATTAAATTAATTTAACAGAAGTCAACCATTGTTGAATAGCATTTCGATATAAAACGAACATGCAATATGATTTAGTTGTGTGGTTTATTAAAATCTGGTGGGGGTTCTGGGTTCGAGAGCTGGTAAAGCAATAAATGGTTACACTACTAATGAGTCCAATAATAAGATAAAATGGCTTCTCTATAATTATTAGTTATCATGATGACTCTGAACATGGTTGAACTATCAGTCTAGCTATACCATATTTAGTTTTTGGTGTTCACCACCTCAGTAATATACTTAGTTTAACCATTAGTATAGAATTTAAGATGAAGTTAGTTTGTGTATATGTGTATCTATGCCAACCAATTGTATAGTAGTTATCTGTATGTATTTGTAGCTAATTGAATAAAGATCATTTTGGAACCTTAGAATTTCACTATCTAGATATGATCAAACGTAATTAATTGACCTTGGAAACTAAATCTTATAGTCAAAACAAATATATTCAGAACATTCACAAATGATCTAAGTGAGTTTATAATCAATATTTATGGATTATCCCCCTTTTATGAATCGTTTTATGTATTCTAACCTTGAATACTGTCACCATGTTATTATGTATTACATAATCCAGTAGGATGAGTTACATTTAGAAAACAGATGAAGACAAATAAGTACTTAGCAACTACTCGACATCTATTCTTTATGATACTAATCAATGTTCATTGAAAGAGATTTGTTTTATTAGTGTGTTGTTGTATCCCAACAAGAATATTGAATAGTAACTGTGATGACCTATTTATGGACTAACAGGATGCATACATTTTTATTGTATAATTATTAAGTAACTAAGCTATACATATTCATGTTCTTCCTATTATATGCTCTATTTTGACCCATTGATGATTTACCGTTCTTGAGTTATGCCCGGTCTATTCATGACAGTCTTCCACATTCACAGCCACATTCTGGTTAGATCTTGTATCAATGTTATTTTCTCTTTTATGGTGTGATGTGGTCTATTTAGTTTGTATATAAACACAGTATGTTTGAAATACATGATTTATGTCGCGGAGGCTGAGATTGATGTTCTGGACTTAACAGGCAGGCGAGGCTAGGCAGAAAGAAGGACCAGTAAAAACACTAAACTGCTCGTACGAGTTTTATTCATCATTGATCTGGTCGATAAATCATAGTTCTCTAATTAGCGGTATCATTACGTTATAGAATAATAAGATCACAAGGCCACAAGTTATAAAAGATTGAAATAAAAATTGTTATAATTTAGTCTCTTCTCTTCTTCTTCTTCTCACCTCTTAAATTCTTGTAGTTTTCACAAATCTATGTATCCATTAAATGAGAATGTTTAGTAGATTGTGCTTAATCTGGTCTCCATGTTATCTAGTATCTATTAGTAAGCTGTATCTACACTGTTTAAGGTAAACATTGTTTCATAAAATCGCACTTGATCAACTATGCTTTTTATGTGGTCGTTTCGGCCTATTGTGGGACTCCTCATCAATGCACATCCACGATCTCGCCTCGCGAGATTTCAACCCAGGATCTATCAATATCAAACACGAGCACTTAACCTCTAGATCATTGAGACGGTATCCAGCGGCGCTACATCAGAAGGCGTTTTTATGGATATTATTGTAATTTTAATAGTTGAGATTATGAATTAATTGAGGCTGAATTACCATGGAAAACCTGGAAGCACTGGACGGCCAATTCATCCTATTGTGGGACTCCTCAGCAGTGCGCATCCACTATCCCACCTTACGAGATTCAAACCTAGGACTTATCAGTCTCTACTATATACTGTAGTATTGTAAATAAGTGTTTCACCTTACATGGTTGAAGTACTTCAAAGTATGAAATCATTAAGGTGGAATTAGTTTTAGTTCAGATTTAAATGATCCCATCATATTATAAGCTACAGTCATTGAATCTGGATATTTTTTCTGACAAACATTACAATCACTAGTGTTTGCAAAACATTCCAATTGTAGGAACTAATTTTAATTACAACATTTAATACTTTGCAGTGGACATCTAAGAGAGAGTGTTTCGTAATTCAATGCCTTTAATTTGTCAGTCAATTGAGATATAGTAGTAGTCTTTATACTTAAATAAAAAGATTGCTCAGTTCCACTACAGTACAAAGTATTATACAGTATTGGTTAGTAAAGCTTATTTATTGTGTAAACACTTTTTTACTGAGATGGTGGAGAAGATTTGTAGCTCAGGCGGATGATTTTGATGGAGTTTTGTTCTCTGAGCTGGATGGTTTGGTCGTGGAGCTTTCAAACTTCAGATAGAATTCTATCTGTAGTTTGTACTGATGATGTCATTCAGAAGAACAATGAAAGCTCCACGATCAAACCATCCAGCTCAGAGAACAGAACTCCATCAAAAACACTTTATTATTATTATTCGTGGCTTTATTCAATATTATAGTTTTGGTAGAATATAGAATCTTCAGCACAAAGTATTTCAGCAAGTTTCTGTTTTATATATTTTGATCGATCCTGGCGATAACATAATTGAGTGATCACCAGTTAGGTGTTAACAGTTCAATAGTCGACATCTGAATCATATTCATTCTTTTCAATACATATTGCCAGCTACCACAATGTCTCTGATTGGGTTCTTTTGTAAATTGTACAACGAAAGGTTGTACACTATTCAGAAGCGTAGTTGAATAGGTTATGCGACTCTTAAGCATATTATTCTGTTAAAATAAGCAAGAAAACAGATAACTTATTGAAATATCCAGATGGTAGGAGCAAATAGCCCAGATATTTCAGTAGGTTAATAAATATGTGAAATTATGAATCAACTGAAGCTAGACTACCATGGAAAACCTGTACGGTGGCGCATTTTCGTGGATTGGTTGAAGTTAGACAATACCATTGGATGCTGACCGGCTCAGTGGTTTAATGATTAAGCACTCGCGCGCGAGACTGATAGGTTCTGGATTCGAATCTCGTGAGGTTGGATCGTGGATGCGCACTGCTGAGAAGTTCCACAATAGGATGAAAAGGCCATCCAGTACTTCCAGGTTTTTCATGGTAGTCTAGCTTCAACTGACTCATGATCTCAACTATTGAAATGACTAAAATCTCTACAAAATCCCTTCCAATAATAAATAGATTATTAGTTGAACTGTATCTTGTACCATTAGAGATATCTTTTTTTCTTTACATGATTTGTAATGTATAGCAAATGTGTCTTACTTACTGACCTACTTATGCCTGTTACTCCTCGTGAAAAAGCATAGGCCGCTCACCAGCATTCTCCATCTAACCCTGTCCTGGGCAATACTTTCCAGCTCCTTCCACTTGTTATCCATCCTTTTTGTATCTGCTTCTATTTGAGGAACCTGTTGTATTAAGTAGGAACATTTCTTAAATTATCAGTATAAAATTATGGAGATCATGAATGGATCATTGTTAAAACACTATCGAATACCTGAAAGCACTGGACGGCCGTTTCATCCTAGTATGGGCGTCATAGTTCTTCTATAGATGGAGACCTTCTAACTTCTAGGGCAGAGTTTAAATGGTTTGAACTATTTTTTCTGGTTAGCGTCTTTTAGCAAGTTAGTTTTCTATAGGATGGGGTCCTTAACCCCATGCCCAACCCTCCTCCTTTACCCGAGCTTGGGACCGGCAGTAACTCTAGAAGAGCTACAGGCGTAGTTAACAAATGTGTCTTAGGATACTAAAATCTTCATCATCTTTACATTTGAATATGGTAACTATGACTAACTAACAATCTAAATAACTGAATAGCTCCAATTAATCATTAGTCCATTTCATTTTATGTCAATCATTTATTGTTTATTC